TTGCATAGATTGGACATGTACTTCATGTAACGTCGGTGGGCTAATGCGTACCCTGGTACCATATACTGGTATTATGAGGCTAATCGGGCGAGATGGCAGTAGATTATATGGAGCAGACGCAAGGTGATTGCCTGGTTTCCATTTTCACTCTATACCGGCCATAGTGACATATTCAAACGTTACTTACTCTATGTATACACGACACCCTGACATGACGATTGTGACTGGCCCCGAAAAGCGTTGAATAAATCTGGATACCCTTCAGCCAAGACTGAGAACCGTTCAACTACTACCGGTAATAGACTCTCTTGCGCGTTAGTAGAAACTACTGTACCAACATTTCACAAAACTGTCTGGGACGTACCGGTATTCTACGTTTTCATTTCTCAAAATTGAGTAAAACGAGACGTACTGTAGTTTCGACAGATCTCGTCGTGGTGAAGAGATGTAGCATCTCATCAACAAATTTGGCGAATAATTGGTCGGGTAATATACTGTAAACCAAGAGGTATTTTGTATATGGCCAGTAGATTTTGGCCACGAAGGGTATATTGATGTTAGTAAAATACTTGTATCCGTATATCGTATCCGTACAAAGAAGCACTTTAATCTACTTTGGGTTTCGACAAAGACGAGGTTTAACGTGGTCATAATAGGTTTACCCACAATGCAAAAATATTTTTATACCACTCTGTTCCACAAAATTTGTCATGTTGTACTTTTGATTGGCAGCATTTTTCTAAAAATACTCCAATTGAGTGTCTGATTGGCGTTCTGGAAAGCGCAAGATCTCTACTTTGATTGGGTAGTTTATAGCACTTTCCAGCCATTTTGGTTGTTGAGATATTGCGCGGCAAAACTTCCGGGTCATGGTCAGCTATTACAAAATGACCCGCCAGAACTTCATAACACAATTTATTGGCTACGCAGCAATTCCTACACACACATATCACCACTACATGCCTCTTCGTTCACCACGGCGATCCGGTGATGCTTCGGTCGCCGTCCGGGACCTCGCGGACCTTGCGCAAGCACTTGAGCTTTGCCCATCGCCGCACGGCCTACGAAACGCTGCTTAGCGTCGCCGTTGATGGTTTGCTGCCCCGTGGGGTTCTCACCGAGCTTGCACAGATATTTCGCTGCCATCCGCGAACGATATCACGTCTGTGGACGCAAGCGCGTCTGTCGCTCCACCGTGGCCACTGTGCCGCCGATGCTGCCTCAAAAACCAAGGGTAATTCTCTCAAACCAGATATATATATAAATTTGTGCAATTTTGATATATGAGGTTGGACTTTTTAAGGGAACTCTGGACACCATGCGCTCCGAACAAGCGACGAAATTGAAGCTGCCATCGGAAACGTGCCACAAGTACAACGGCACACTTTACGCTCTCTGTCGGCCGCGTGTGGAATCCCCATGATGACGATCTTTAGCCACCTGAAGAAGAATCCTCGCTTCAAGGTGCGTTCAAACTACGTCAAGCTCCATCTCACCCCTGCGAACATCGAAGACCGACTCAAGTTTGCCATGTTCTTCGTTCGGCCTTTGCCAAGTGGACACTATCTTTTCAACGACATGCACGACTATGTGCATGTTGACGAAAAGTGGTTCTACTTGACGATGGTTAAGCGTAGGTACTATGTGTACTACGACGAAGAGGTCGCGGCCCGGGCGGTCAAGTCCCAAGCGCTTTATCACCAAGATGATGTTCATTGCCGCTGTGGCCAGGCCGCGATATGACCCATACGGCAAAAAGGAATGGGGCGGCAAGGTTGGTGTTTGGCCCTTCGTTCAAGTGGTGCCAGCGCAGCGTGTAAGCAAGAACAGGCCGAAGGGCGCCATAGTCACCACCCCACAACCCGTCGACGCACCAATTTATTTTAATACAATATTAAATAAGGTTGTCCCCGCCATCCAGGAAAAGTTTCCTAGATGTGGCAGACGGGGTAATGTGCTGATCCAACAAGACAATGCAAGCCCGCACAGAAATGTAACGACAGAAAAGCTTTGTGCACATAGAGTTTGTGGCATTGGAGTGGCTAACCAACCCCCGAACAGCCCCGATTTCAACGTGTTAGATTTAGGATTCATTAATTCTATTCAAAGCCTACAGTACCAAAAGTGCACTGGAACCATCGAGGAGCTTATTGTTGCTGTAGAAAATGCGTTCTATGAGTTGCCGACTGACACGCTTGCAAAGACTTTCGTAACCCTTCAAAAAGTTATGGAATTGTCCATTGAAATACATGGCAGCAACGAGTATAAGTTTCCTCACATGAAGAAAGACGCTCTCATTGCAGACTTTGCATCGTATAATGTCGAGTTTGACGCCTCGTCCTACGAGAGCGCTTTGGCTCATTTGAAAAGCCGACTTGGTGAGGAGGTTCACCTCGATGTCATGGTCAAGTCTCTTGAATGAGACATTAAAAAAATACAATAAAAGTTTTGGTGCGGGTTATGGTGTTTTGGAGTGGCATACAAAAAGCAAGTCGTTTCAATTGCGCAGTGCATACCTTAATCAAGTGAAAATCTACCTGACAGTTTTTCTGGAACGGAGTAGTACGTACTATGGTGTACGTCATCTATAAACTACAAACTTTTCACAAAATTTTCTGACTTCTATTTCATATTTATTACTCAAAATTTCAGCAAATTGAGACGTAGAATCGACAGATCTCAATGTGGCGAAGAAATTCTACGTCTCAGATTCAAATTTGGTAATGAATTGGTCCAGAAATAGATATTTCACCCAGCGGTATTTTGCATTCGAAGTCCAGAGCATAATAGGATGGATAAAAAATGGGAAAACGAAATTCAAAACATGGAATCGAACCCAGGAAACCACGTTCAAATCCTAAGAGCATGTTCGGGGGACGAAAAACCATGATGGAACGCAATATGATTGGTGGATTGAAACTGCAATTACCGAAACGCAACCGGAATCCGGATGTGTCTGGGTACTCAGAATTTAATTGACGGGATGAGTCGCAAAGCGAGTCAACGCGGAGATGAACCTGAGCTTGACGAGGAAAGAGTTTTGATACTGACCGGTAAAGGTGATATTCAAAGTGTTTGTGATGTTCTCAATACAATAGAAGATAACCTTATGGTCCTAGGCAACAACAATGGTACTGGGCGCCAAAAGCTCGGCTGTCACCCTGCTGCAGTGAGCGGGAAGATAGCAGCTAAGTGGCGGACTGTATGTTTCGACTCAGGTTTGTGAAACTGGCCGACAAGTTTGAAAACGTCAAGAACAATCAAATGCGCCTCGATGCGTATGAATTACTTGCTGCCGAACTCTCCTTGGGGGTGGATCAAGTATTAAGCGCAGAACAAGTTCAAAACAAGTTACAACTTAGTTTATATGTATATTCTACATATTATTGGATCATCTGGATATATATATTTTTTGTAGCTACACGAGTTGAAGAAAAAGTGGTTTAAACCAAAGGTCAAGGCGACTGAAAATGGTTCGGCTGTCCGTATGAAGCCCCAGTACTTCGACATTATGTTTGAGTATAGGGGTACCAACTTCGTTACTCACACTCGCTGTTGTCGTCCGACCCTGACGTTGATTTCGATGACGAGGCTTCCACAGGCTTGGACGTCGGTAGCGATTCGGACAGTGTCATGGGTACAGACTCCGACATTGCCCCCTCGCAGACGAGAAATGCAAAGCCATCAACTGTAGTGCCCACGAACATCGAAAAGAAGCTATTATGTGCGAAAAAGTACTTGTATTCATCAATAATGTTGTACCGTTCTGATGTATGTAATTAATTGATTCTTAGGTCGTCAAAATTTCACACGAATCAAGCGTCCCACGCTACAGCCCTACTTCAAGGCCTTCAAGCAGTTGGCAATGGGCTTGAAAGCATCGGGTCGTCGTTTGGAAAACAACCTGCCGCCGGTGGCATGAGCAACAAGATATAGTTATCAATTGAAAAACAAACTGAGGCGATGGCAAAACAATCCGATCAAATCACTCAGTTTCTCCAATACATCCTCCGCCGTGAATCCAATGTAGCTGAAGCTCAACAATAAAACATTTTGATTTATTCATTTTGAACAATGTTTGGGCAATTCTATCTCGCTTAAATCTACCAACGGATTGCAGGGCACTTGATGTTTCGACTGGTCTTCGTCCGTACATGAGGTTCTGGTTGACAATAAATGTTGCCGTCATGTTCACTGTGTGGTTCGTTGAACAATGGGTCGTGGAGTATATTGATAGCAACATGCACGCCATGAAACTGCGGGAGGTCTGCGTCATTGATTTATCACTTCGGAATTTTGAGCGTACGGAACCGTTCTTTAAGCCGGCCAAAAGCGCATTCAACAATCATTCGCGTACTTGAATGCATGTACTTGAAGTGGCCTTGGCACGCGGACAGAGTCTTGTTTGGCTCCTTGTGTGGAAGGTACGGCACGAAGAGCCATTGAAACAATACACAGCCTGAGTCCCTAATGATGTATGAACCACTTGGAAATTAAATTCGGATTGTACGTCCCAACGTTGACATTTTCCAGATCCTGCGGTCCGAAAATGACCCAGGTCTTATGTCAACACTAGTGAATGCGCCAGTATGACCCACCAAGGCTTGGACGATTAGTGATGGGTCCCCATGTCTGGTGTAGAATCCATCGTAGTTCTTTGGAAGTTGGATTTCAACTAGTGTTCCGTCGATAGCCCCCACAATACCCGACATGTTTCGTTTTGATCCTAAACACACCCGCAACTTCTCTGTATCCACCATGGGACCCCAGAAAGTAGAACACAACAGTCACCTGTTTTCGTATGAGTGGGATTTGGTGTAATTGTCGAGACTGTATTGCACCATTTCCACCCGCAGCAACTCACATAACTCGACAAAGGACTCTTGATTCCAACGTAAATTGTCCATAAACCATCGGTCGTACTCTGGATCGACTAAGAATTCGTGGAAGTCAATCTCTGTCACGGTCAGCAAATTGTGCTTCTCGGTGCGGGTCACAGATGACATGGTAATGCACACAGCTGCCGCAGCAATGCTTCCAGCCAAAGCAGCTTAAATGTCTTGACAGCCACATGCACCCCCATTAGACTGCCACACAAGCAGGGCCACATTGTAAACAGCCACAAACACCACCCGAAGGACAGCCACACAGGTCACCAAGAGGACATCCACACACGCCACTCAGAGGATAACCACACACACCACCCGGAGGACAGACACACCTAGCACACGGAATGCAGCCACACACACCATCAGCAACACAGCCACACGCACCACCACTCACCATGACAAAACCACGAGTAAACCAGAACTCTTCCCTTGACACGAAATGGTCATCGGCACAATGACACCGGATAAAAAATCCGGTTGTGATTTCGTCCTGGTTGACTTTTTTGTCTCGGTATTTTCCCCGAACAGTCTCTAAGTGCAACATATCATGTTTTCTCCTGTCGTAAAGTCAATTTTATGAATAATAATACAGTTTTTCTTAGTACTGTGCATACATAAGCTAAGATAACAATATGGCCAAAAGCAATGTCTCCAGTTTTACGCAATGCAGGAAGTACAGTTTTTCTTAGTACTGTGCATACATAAGCTAAGATAACAATATGGCCAAAAGCAATGTCTCCAGTTTTACGCAATGCAGGAAGCCCCGAAGAAGGCTCGGTTGTAAAATACTACAACTGGCTTTGTATATTTTATTCACCATTAATTTAGAAAGCTCCTCGATTGTATAGTGGAGTTGGTAACTCATGTCGTCATGGACTCGACAATTGTGCAGAAGTGATCAATATTGGACGTATTGATCACCCCATCAATATCACACGCGGCCAATGCACTAGAAAAGTTACCTACCCTGCGTTCGAAGTCCTTTCCCGAATTCATCGCTTCGATAACTTTGACTACATCTGGATCACACACGACAGGAGCGACTGGGCCAAGTCTTGATATCTTGGCGTTCAGCGAGTGCGGCAACTTGAATGTGTTGTCGCCTCCCATCTTCAATGACTCACCCATGATCCTCTGAAGCGTCACAAAGGTTTTGTCCAGAACGCGCCAATCCAGGCATCAAAAGCTTTCTGCACTGCTGCAACAAGGTCATCAATTCCACTGACAACTTCACGGTGCTGCAAGGCCTAAATCGAAGCGAAAAATCCAAGCTCCAAGACGTTGAAGTCAGGGCGCGTCACCGGTTGTGCCACAAGCTGTATCATCCAGCCATCAGAACAAACCACCAACGCCACGGCAGCGTCGTCGACTTCAACATGAGGGCGAGCATTGTCTTGTTGGATGTAGATCGGTTGACTGCGGATCGCATGCTCCAGCCGATACTCCCGGAACACCTTCTTCGTCACAGTGACCGACGTCGTCACAGGAGTTCCACGCGATCTTTGCTCATTTGTTGAGCTGGCACAACCGACACGAAGCTGCGGCGGCTGCGGGCCACCATAGATTTGATGTGAGAGATTGCAATAGAGCTAGCATTTCTGATCCCTAGAGGTATCATATGGCTGGGTACCGAGGGTGGTCAAATGTGTGCTGTGTAGTCTATTTCCCTGTGGGTATGACTTGGCGTTCCAGGGTTAGCTTCGGTGTCACCGGTGCTGTGGCTGAAGCGGGCCACTGATTGTGTGGTGTTTAGTCATTTTATCCTTCCTGCGGCATCAGTTGGTAAGTTTCTGGGCCACGCTGGGAGGTCAAAAGCTGGTTGGAGGGGAAACTCGCAATCATCACACCTGCTTTGTAGTTTACTAGGCGGGCCCCTTTCAACGCCTCATACAGGTAGAAGTAGGGTCCTGTAGTCTCAGCTAGTTTGTAAAATAGATACTGCGATATGATACTTCTAATATAGTCCTGTGTAATGCAATCTAGCTCGACCAATGAATGCAGTGATATTAACCGGAAGGTTAATATCTACACATTTCCCGCGAGTATGCCATTCTTTTCAGCCGAGGCTGAAACATTTTATGAAACGAACCCAAACGGTGATAAGATCGGGTACAAGCGAGAGTCCCTTATGAGCACTGACGATGTCAGCGAGGACGATTGCTTACATTACAGCACGGGTACGCAATGTTGGTGTATTTATACTACTTGTTTGTTTTTATCACACGTTTACAAATTATAATTAATAGATATGCTCGTCGTTCGTTGCTGATAACGACGAAGCTAAAAGAAATAAACATAGAAATGGCGGAGGAGCTTTCAAAAAAGAAACAAAAGAAGAGCAGTCGTGACGCGAAATCCAAGTCACAATCCGAGTCACTCGAAGCAGGTTTCAATGCAATTAAGGAAGGGTTGATGTTTTTAGGCACGTCGATGTCTCAACATCCCCAAGTTCAGCCAGCATCGGGTGCCACTTTGGACGATGTATTAATTGCGATCAAGTCGCAATCGGACACGAAGACCTAACTGCTGTCTCAGTTGCCCAAAAGGGAAATAAGAATGAGTAAGCACGTACTTTTCGAGATTTCAAATTTGACAATTTATTGATAAATTATCCTTGCAATGGAATAACGCTTGTTCACTGCATGCTGTCGAAGCAGTGAATTGTTTTCAACATCGTCATCGTCTTGAGGTTAGGCATGATCATTCCGATCGCGCCGTTGACAGGGATTGTCAAATAGTTCGTCCTTGTCGAGTGCAAAAATATCTTATGCAGTACAAAGCATGCGGTAACGACGGACACTAGAGACTTTTAGCAAGTGCGAAATCTTGACTTTCCAGACTTAAACTTCGATTCGAACTTCGAAGCTTGCAGACTTTGCTCGGAAACAGGTCTGAAAAGTGAGGAAGTCATCACACTTTTGGCCTCGAAGTCCGCAGACATCTGACTACTTTCCGAGCCAATCAAATTGCTCTATTAGATTTGCTCCACTCACACCAACATGCTCCGACTCGCTTCAGCCGACGCATAGGTAGTTAAGACTATGTGCTTTAGTGTTAGGATAGTGCACAAGCGCGGGTATGTACAGTGATGCAGGACGCTAGTGTGAGTTTGTAGCTCAGGGCAGTACATCACAGTATACTCCCCGCCGCCGCGCACCAAGCCTCCGATGATTGCCGCCTGATCACCCATGCCAAGGCATGGACGACGGGCGGCGAGCTCGGTCCTGACTACGTAAACCTATGTTTGGTCGCCACGATACTTGACGACCAAACAGAGGGAGAATCTTGACTCAAGATCCTCAAACTTCGAAAGCAGCGGGCATTAGGACCGCTGAGCTAGTCCGAGTCCCTACAGTCCAAAGCGTTCGATGACTATCGTTTCATAACGTCGCACATGATACACAAATCCACATTCTACACGCCCTTATGTGTCTCTCGTTGAATTGCGCGCAATGAAGTCATACCGGTAGGCACAGACTAAGAACAGGAGAAGGAATAATGGATGGTGTTGGCTTGGTGCGTTGGGATTTACTTTTCAGACTTGCTAAATCTGAATTCTTTAAACTTCCAACTTCAGACATCGATAAAATCGAATGAAGTACAAAGTATGTAAACTACTCACATTTCGCACTTGCTAAAAGTCTCTACTGTATGGTCCAACGACTTTTCCTTCATGGGCGTCTTCAAAATTTGGATTCGTTCCTTCAACCGCCCAAACGCGCATTCGACCGACATTCTGCAGCTGGAGAGTTTGGAATTGAAGTGCTTTTGCAACTTGGACAACTTACCCTCTTCGCGGAAAGGTGTGATCAGCCAAGGCAGCAATATGTACCCAGCATCACCCAGGATGAAAAATCCCATAGGGACTTTTCCATGAATCGATTTGCCCAATTTGAATGTTTTCCAGATTTTCTTGTCTGAGTATGATCCAGGTCGGATATCCACAGACATATATCGAATATTGGAGTCGACAACGGCTTGGATGTTCAACGACGGGTCTATATTACGATTGTAAAATTCATCGTAGTCTTTGGGGCGTTGAATGTCAATCAGGGTAGCCGTCCACAGCACCAAAAATTCCAGGGAAGTTTTGCTTCTGAAAAAAATCCTCCTTGATTCGAAGCCACTCGGCGGGGGTTTGAGGTATCGAAATCCATAACTTTGCTTCCTTCGCCAAGGCAGCGACGAACACGTTCGTGGTCTCCACGCACCACAATGTGGACATGCTGAATGAAGCGCCTGATTCACGATAACCACCCTCGGACCCCAGAAACTCCAGCAGCACTGCAACCTTCTTCTTGAACAAGTGAGACGTCTCCCGTCTCATCAACTCTGGATTAGATGTGCTGAGCCACGACGCCAGACGGCGGAATGTCGACTGGCTGCACTGAAGGTTTGCCTGAAACTATTGCTCGTACTATGGTTTGCCTAGCACGATGTCAAAATCAACATTGGTAACCGTGAACACATTGAATTTGTCATTAGCGTAGCAGGTTAGAGTTGCTGCTACCCCAACACATACCGCTGACAATGTGTACGCCGCCTCGATGATCGCAATCTTGAATTGCATTGGAGTGTCGGCAGATCAGTCACAAACACGAATGCTCACCGTCCACATATCGTACCCTATCCGAATAATTTATATCCGTACAAACATGAATCGACACGGACAGGAACACATATTTCCCCGACCAGGCCCTTACATAAATCAGTCGAAAAGCAAGGCAATAATACCACACATGCCTATTTTTCGACTAAACGTAAAAAACAGGCTATTAATAGGAGTACTATACTTAACTAGTACTACCGGTAGTATTACTGTATGAGGTAGATGGCAGCACTTTACATAACTCTGTCGCAAGACAAGGTAGTAGCACTTTACATAACTCTGTCGCAAGACAAGGTAGTAGTACCACACATGTTCTGGGGTACAGTGCCTGCTTTCCGACAAAACATATGAAAAGCAGACAAGAAGTGGTAAAACCGCGAAGCTGAGGCGGACTCCCAGGCAAATAATTCATTAGGAATTCAATTTTTTTCTAAAATGTTGTGTCCCTCTTTTCTCGTTTTTATATACTACGTAGTATTAAATAACAAATTTTATAGTTTCATATATTTTTTAATTATTTTAAAATCGGTACTAGTAAGTTGTAGGTATGTACGTACAGTACTGCTCTGTCCAGCAAGCATACGTATTGTTTAGATGGCTTTGCATCTGTCTTGAGGACAATTCGAGCAAATTTTAGACTTTTCCACCATTTTGCAAAGTCGGTGCCACAGTGACATACTACGTAGTACTACCGCTAGAACATGTAGTCCTGAGTACTTCGAATAGGAGCTATTCCCTCGGAACAACACCAACAGTGTTGCTTCGTACTACAGTAGTAATCAATTTGTTCACCACCCGTTTCAGACTTCCTTGAATCACTAATACGGATGGATAACAATTCGTACGAAAGTCTTACTAGGTTCACTAACGAATGAAGCAATTACGGGGTTTCCACCATCAAGTGGCGTGTGTTTCGTGAGCACAGAGGGTTTTATTTCGTGGAAATATCTTCCTTTCGAACTACAGTGATCCCTCAACGTTTGCTCGCTTTTCCAAATATAAATTTTCCAAGTCAGCCTATTGTACAAAGAAACCACGAACATTAACTTTGAAGGGTGACTATCTGCTGGTCAATTAACAGTAAGCAAAAGCAGAAGTGAATGGCCCAAGTTCCGAGGTAGAACCCCCGTATG